TCCCCGTGTCGCGCAGCATGGTGAACGCCAAAGCCATCGAAGTTGCGTGCGACCACGGCATCTCGGTCGGCTTTAGTGCGTCGCGCTCGTGGCTCGAACGCTTCCTCCATGAGCACGACCTCCTTGTCACGACGCGCCGCATCCAGGAGTTTGAGGCCACCCTTCAAGCCGAGATCGACGCCCTCTGCCTCAAACACAAGATCAAAAAAATCTACCGCGCCGAACAGACAGGTACGGCACAACTACCTACGTGCTCTGCTGCACTGCACAAGTCTGTCGCGTCGGAAGCCTCAGCCAGTAATACCGATAGGCATCAACTACGAATACATTCCAAAGCCGGCTGGGTCCGTGAACGCGTGGGTCCGATGCGGCGGCTCGGAGAGGGACCGCATCACGGCCATGCTTCTCGGCGATGCAGATGGCAACAAATACCCCCTCTTCCTCGTCATGAAGTCGGACGCCGAGAATCATCCAGACGCGCGCCAAGGCTTTGATACGGCCGCGTGGGAGGACATGCAGATCATCCAAGAAGAGACGGGCGGCGTCGTCTTTGGCAACCCGACGGCCACTTGGAACAGCGATCTCTCGCTCGCGTTCCTCCGATTCCACTTTGGCCGCCGCGCTCATTTGAACGAAAACGTGCTGCTCGTGTGGGGCGTCCACTGGACGGCGGACGTACAAGCGTACGCCGATGAGATCAACGTGACTCTCCACCGCGCGCAACCGACCAACGCTGTCTGGAAAAGCACGCTGATGAACCGCCTTCGCCGCATCTGGATCGACAGCCTCCGCGCCCAAGTCGCTTACCACACGTCCATGGCCCACTTTGTCCTCCAGCCGCCCTGCCGCATCGAGCTCGCTGCGTGGGTTCAAAGCACGTGGGACTCGCTCTCGAGAAACACGATCCAGAAGGGCTTCAAGATGAAAGACGACGACCTTGTAGCATCCTCCCGCAGCCCAAACGTTGCTAACGAAGAGGACGACGCTGTCTCGTGCCTCGAGCCATCGCTGCTCGAAGCGCTTGTCAACCTGAAGATTGCCCACGACGTCAACGCAGACGAGGACTCTGATTCCAGTCCCGAGAGACAGCGCCTTCTCCGCAGCCCGGCCGACAAGCCGGTCAATCGCGCAATGGGCGAGTTCGTCGGGCGCTCAGCCACTGCATCACGGCCCGGCCACACAATGGTGACGCTGCCACGCGTGCCTAATCTCGTCACCGTCCCGTCGTTCCCGCAGCGCCTCACGACGCGCGCAGACCGTACGGAGATCACCGCGTTGGCGCAGAACAAGGAGCTGTGGACGGAGCTAGCCGAGG